CAGGATTCCAGGAGGTGCAGGGTGAGATGCTGACACCAGCTCAGCTGTCTACTTCACCTTTCCTCTCTCTCTGTGAAACCTGCTGGAGCTGAGCAGCCTTCTTGTCACAATGAGGGGAAAATACATCTGCTGATGAGTTGTTAACAGAGGACACAGGGCCAAGGGATGGTGGCAAGGCAGCAGGATCCCGTGACACCATGTGAGCCCTGGTCAGCTGTGCCTGGGGCGGCCCTTAGAGCACAGGGCCGTCCTTTGGGCTGAGAGCTTCGAGGTTGGCTGAGAGATTTGAGATCACCTGCGGGCTGTTCCTCAGGTCCTGGGAGAACAGAGCACCTGGTCAGCTGCAGCCCTGGGTGGAGGGAGGCTGAAGTGTCCTTCCTGGAAGTGCCCTGTGGATGGCAATGACTCCAGCCCTAAATGGGGCAGGAGGCTCCTGGGGTGAGCTGCAGGGCAGCCCTTCTATCTGACCTATTCTCCAGCTTCCCACTGTGGCAGACCTTAAAGAGCAGATGAGCCACAGGAGACATGTTTTCTCTTTTTCCCCCCTCCAGTATTCTAGTAATCTAATTCTAAGAGTGATCTAGTGGTAAGAAGCTGTGCTACAATCCCAAAGGCACCTAGTTCAAATCCACCAGCTACTTTGTGGAAGAAGGAGGAGCAATCACTTGCTGTGCGATTAACTGCCTCCAAAAACCCACTAGAGGGTCAGCTATGGGTCGGTTCTGACCCAGTGGTACACAACAGTAATAAAGTCGCTACTAATATAATCTTTATTATTGGCTTATGTAAAGGAACAATTTTACACAGTTGCAAAAAAACACAGTTCTTATACTGTCACACAAATTTCCCCCATCATCTTAAAGTGGAGCATTCCCATGAAATAAACTGGCTCAAAGCAGCAATTACCAAAAATGCATAAGGGGGAAAATGTTGAGTGTTCCCAGACCCCAAAATAGCCTATCAAGTCATACCAAATAACACATCAAACCTAAAATAACACAATATACAGTAAATGCAGGACTGATATGATGAACACAGAGTCCATACAAAATAGAAACCATGTGTGCACAGTGTTAACACGTCCCCAGGGAAGGAGCTTGTAGACACCACACACAGCTGGGGGTGAAGCTACCTCTTAAACGGCTCGTTGCAAAGGAAGCTGAACACTAGTTTTGCTTTTTGTAAAAGCAAAAATCCTCCTTGGGGTAGAGAAAACAGAGAGTGATATAAATAGATGGTCCATAAAAGTAAGGTGACACAAAGCAAAAGTTCAAAAAGCGGAGGAAATGGCTATTCTGCTTTTATGCCCCTCGTACAAGAAAAGAATTTCACACTGCCTCATGCTGTTTTGCCTAATTATCACCTTTAACAGATAATATTTTCAGCAAAGGAACTGTCATTCCACAGCAACTCCTTTCCGCCCAGCCAGGTCCTCTGGCAGGTGTGCCCTGGGCTGCCTGACGCACACCGCTCTGCTCCGGCTGGGTCGTCCTTTCTGCAACCTCGCTCTGGAGGTGGCAGGGCGTGTGCTGCCCACTTGCTTTCCCTGGGGACCGTGACAGCAGACACCAGCAGGTCTCGGCCCGCAGACTCTGCTGTCATGTCCCTGGGACAATGTCTGGGCAGATGTGAAGGAGGTGGGTTGCAGGGGGAGATACAATTCCTTTCTTACCGATTTCCTTTGTTATTGTTTTGTGCAGGAGTAAACCAGCATTATGCATCTAGGAAATCCTCAAGGATGTGAGGGAAATGAGGGCTCTCTCAGGGTTTCAGGGGCACAATACTGAGGCCATAACCAAGCAGGTCTCTAACTAGCAGTTAAAGAAGCCACTTCCCAGTTGATGTGGCCCAGAGCTTCCCCCCTTCGGGCTGAAAGGGGGCTCCTCCTCTGTGTCTGACCTAAGGCCCGCGGAAACCCGAGAGGGAGGCCGAGGCCGATGCTACTACGCACTATGCATCTTGCTTTACAGCGACTCCCGTGACTGTCCTTTCCAAACGGAAGGCCTGCAACAACCTGTGCTCAGCAAGTCTATCTGCACCGTGTTCCCAAGAGCCCATGCTCACCTCATGTCTTTGTCACATTTGCACAGTTCTCACAGTAATTCAAACATTTTTATCATGCTGTTGCACACTTCATAGGTTGCCAAAAATAAAACAAAACAAAAAGAAGTCAAGCCCACTGTCGCCGAGTGGATTCATACTCAGTGGAGATTCTCCACCGGGTTTCTGAGGCTCTGCACGTCTCCTCGGGAGGACAGTGTCCATCCTCCTCCCACAGAGGCCAACGTGCTTGTGCTTAACAGCATGACTGCAGCACCACCAGGGGCTCCTTGTAAGACCAGAGTCTACTGTAAACCTGTTATCTGCATGGGAAACCAAAAAGCTCGTGTGACCGCTTTAGTTTGATAGTAATATTATTGTGACAGCTTGGATAAAATCTGCAGTATCTTCAAGCAACGCCTGCATCTCTAAGTATCTACGTTTTCTCTGTATAGTCAGTAATTCATAGACTAGCTGAGATAGGAGAGAACTGTTGGCTATGCATCAGAGAGCTGAACAATGCCTAAAGATGACAAAAGAAGAACTGATGCCTTTGAGTTGTGGTGCTGGAGATGAGTCACTGAACATACCACGGTCTGCCAGGAGAATAAACAGGTCTGTCCTGTAGAGGGTGAAATCAAGTTGCTCCTTGGGGGCAAGGATTTTGAAGCTCCATCTCACATCCTTGGGGTATGTTGCCGGGAGGGACCAGTCCTTGGAGAAGGACATCACGACTGGAAGGATGGAGGGACAGCGTAGAAGAGCAAGACGCTGGATGAGATGGACTGACAGAGCAACTGGTGCAATGTGGGTAAGTGTGACGGAGAGGGTGAGGTTGATTCCGGGTAGGACAGGGTTCAGAGCTACTGTGCACTGGGTCACCATGAGTTGTCAGTGACTTGACAGCACGTAACAACAACAACACGGCCTAAAGAATAAACAAATCTGTCGTGAAGGAACTGCAGCCAGGGTGCTCCTTAGGGAGGAAGATGATGAGACTGCATCACATCGACTCTGGACCTGCCATCAGGAGGGCGCAGTCTCTAGAGAAGTCCGTCGTCCTTGGAAAGGTGGAGGGGCAGTGACGGAGAAGATGACCCTCAACGGGATGACCTCAGTGGCTGCAGCAGTGGACTCAAGCAGAGCAGAGACTGAGGGGGCGCAGGACCAGACAGGTTCACGCTGTAGTATACACGGTCACTGCGAGTCGGAACCGACCTGACAGCACCTAACAAGTGCCTTGTCATTTCTCCTCTGATCCAAGTTATTTAGATGTGTGTGGTAATGTGCCTCCAAGAACAACACCAAGGACTCACCTTCTGATCTTCCCTCTCCCCCACCCCTGTGTGACCCAGAAGAGAAGGGGTGTCACCTTTTTGACTCTAAGACTCGGTGAGAAAAGGTATCTCAGTTTGCGTCTTGCTCACTCTCTCTGATCACGTGCTCCGGGAGAAGACAGCGGCCCTGAAGAGAGCAGTCCTGTGGAGCAGCCCACGTGGCAGGGGACCAGAGCCTCCAGCCACCGAGGAACAGAGGTGTCCCACCACCAACCCTAGCCGAGCCTTCAGCTGACTACTTCCCCGGTCAGTACCATCTGGTGAATCTGCTCTCAAACTCTTGCTCCGCAAAAACAGAGAGAATAGATGTTTTTCTTTTCAAGTACCTAAGATATGGGTAGTTTGTTATACAGCAATAGGTAATACAAGCAAACTGTTTCAATTCTAAATATTTAGGGGATTTTTCCAGACATGTTACTGTTATGGTTGTTTTCCATTAATGTCACCATTATTTAATCAATCTTTTTTTTTTTTTCCTGCTCCATTGTCTGTCTTTTCCTTTTTTCAAGACTTCAATTAAACTCTTCCTATCCTACAGGTCTCTGAGGTAATGCTGTTTTCGTCCATCGCCCTTCTCTCCGGCCTGGATGGTCTCTGAGGCCCCCCAGTTTTCAGGACACAGCTCCTTCCTCACAGAATCGCTGCCCGACTACACACCCTGCCTGTCTCTCTACGTCTTTGCCCTGAACGTTCTTTCCTTGTTTGACAATCCCTCATGTTCCAATCAGTTCTGAATGCTAATTTGGAATTTAATCATTTCTTCTTCCTTGCTGTTCGGTGACGGGGGAGCCCTGATGATGGAGCAGTCAGGTACTTGGATGCTAAATGAAAGGCTGGGAGTCTGAACCCACCATGTGCTCTAGGAGAGAAAGCGGTCTGCCTCTGCACAGACAACCCAGGGCGGCTCTGTCTCACAGGGTCACTAGGAGTCACAACTGACTTAAGTTGTTGTTTGCTGACAGAGCAGGACCTTTATAAGAAGTAGTGAACAATGAAGCTTATTGTTACATCTGGCATAACTGTTAAATCCTCATACCGTGTACGAGTTAACAATTCTTATAAGAAATACCAGTTGGAAGAGCATGTCTGTTGGTCTCACACAAAATGTGCCCTGTGTTCTGTGGAAGCACATCTAATCCCTTCTCCATAGCATTTAATACCCACACTGCTTACCTGGTTTCACAGGTGGGGAGGAAGAAGAACAAGATTAGCGCTAGAAACACTGTCCTTCCAAACGCAGATGCTAATCGCCTGAGCTGTTTTTTCTCCTCTGATATAAGCACTCATGTAAACACATTCAATCCTGAATTCACAGTTTTATAATCTCTACCAGGGTTTTTTTGTTCCATTTGGTTGGCATCAGAACTCCAGAACATCTGGGGATACCCTGACGCTGCGGTTATCAATCCTGGATCTGGAACCATCTGACGTTGTGCTATTAACCATTTGGAATTCAGGACTCAGTCCCCAGAGCACTGCAGGTATATGTATGCTGCATGATTTCAAGGAGTTCTAGGAGCCCTTGACAGTATACCACGTTTTGCTCTGTTGTACAAATGGTTGCTTTGAGTAGGCACCAAACAACAACAACAACAACAACAACAACACAGAACCCAATCTAGGAACTCCAGGCTCAGATAGTTTCTGAACTTGGCACTGATTAATTAAATGCTTCTAAGTCTTCCAAGCATGTTTTCTCACCATTGCTCTGGCCTCCTCCCGAATGGACGGAATTGAAAGAATGCTGTACAGAGCTCCGTTCACGTACGGCTGAATCTGTAAGAAGAGCCAAACAGTCAGCTCTGAGTTGTCAACTAGTAGACCACTCTGTGACCCAATGTCATGATTAAAGGCAACGTGGCTAACAGGAGAGTCACCACCGAGAAGCTCTCCAGCTCCAGGCACCTGCTTCCAAACAGCAGATGAACCACGTGCATACCCAATGGACTCTACAGCCAAGAGTTCAAAACCAGATTCATCACTTTTTCTTTCTCCTGCGGTGTTTCAGTTTCATCAATGGCACTGCTAACCTCACCACCATTCAGGGTGGAAGCCTGGGCGTTGTGTTCAGTTCCTCTCTCTTTTCACCTTCCGGTGTTTAACCTTCAAACCACCTTTGACATCACTCCCTTCTTTGCCATGTCCACTAGACTTAACGTGCTAAGACAACACTGTCTATTATCTCTTGTTACGTGTCCGGTCAGCTCCAACTCATAGTGACCTGATGCACAACACAACAATAGCGCCCAGTCCTGCACCACCCTCACGTTCCCCGCCGCACAGCCGCTGTGTCATGTCAGCCCATCTCACTGAGGGTCTTCCTCGCTTTCAGTGACCCTCTCCTCTTACAAGCATGAGCTCCTTCTCCAGAGACTGGTCCCTCCTGACAACCTCCTTGCTCTTTGGTACTTTAAAAAGAGATCCTAGGGAGCAGATTTGACCAAGGCAACTATCTAGACTCCATCCAATCCCCAAACCAGTCTCTCCCTTCCGTGCTGACACCCTTCATCCAACCATTATATCTTGGCCCAACATGAACCAAAACTTCCTCCTCTTACTTGGCTCTAAATCAACACTCTTGGTGCCAGCAGCCAGGAAATTAAAAGATTGACTGTATTGAGAAAATCTGCTGTCAGAGACCTCTCCAAAGTACTGAGGAGCAACAATGTCAGTCTGGAGACTAAGGGGTGCCTGTGTCTTTGTAATTACTTGCTATTCATCAGAAAGCTGGACAATGACTAGGGATGATAGAAGGAGAATTGATACCTCTGAGCTGTGGTGTTGGGAAAGAGTACTGAATATACCATGGACTGCTAGGAGAACAGGCTCATCCTAGAGAGGGTGAGACCAGGCTGCTCCTTGGAGGCAAGGATTCCAAAGCTTCGTCTGACAAAAGGCATGCTGCAAGGAGGGACCAGTCCTTGGAGAGGGACATCATGCTTGGGACAGTGCAAGAGAGGAAGACCCTTGATGAGATGGATTGACTCAAGTGTCTGGGGTAACGGGGGGGGGGTAGGTGTGTCTGTCTGAGATAATAAGATCAGCACAGGGTAGAGCAGGGTTTAGGGCTGCTGTACACAGGGGTCGCTATGAGTCGAAGGCAACTCAACAGCACTTAACAACAACTTACCTCAGAAGCCTTCCAGAGAAAAATCCTACAGAACAGCCCCACGTCCCCCAGGGGCTGCCCTCCTCATCAGCTTCCTCTGCTTCCCACTTCCTGCCCCCATAAAATTGATACTCTAGAGAGTCCACGTGAATTGAGGGACTTCCTTCCCGAGAGTCTGTGTGATCTGAGGGCCCAGGGTCGTGATGCATCGCAGGCGACTCAACCGATAACATTCTATGACAGGTTTGGAAGCAGGAGTGGCATCCACTTCCTGAACAACTTGCCTCTGGAAACTCTCTGAACTTTTGAGAAACGTCGATAGTTGTAGGGGGGCTTCAGGCCTTTTGTTCATAGGGTTGCTATGAGTCGTGCTCGACTCGAAGGCAATCAACAACAACAACAACAGCAGCAACCCTCCACATATATCAGGCCCCACCTGCAGCTACCCTGGGCTCCTACAGTTCACTCCTGTGAGAACCTGGAAAATTAATCTACTTTTTTTTTCTGTTGTTGGACCATGCAACACAACATTTGGCCATGCAATGTTTTCTGTGTGTTCAATTTGCTCACACCATTTACACCAAGGGTGCTGGGTAATCACCACCAAGAATCGCTCTCAGTCTCCCATCACTAGAGACCATAGAACATGAAAAGAACAAACAAGTCTATCCTGGGGGAAGTGCAACGAGGCTGCTCCTAGAGGCGAGGACGGGAAACTGTCTCACATTTGGCCATGACGTCAGGAGGGACCACCAGACCTTGGAAAAAGACTTCACGCTGGAAAGGTGAAGGGTCGAGAAAGAGAGAATACCCTCCATGAGATGGACTGACGCCGGGACTGCACCAATGGTCTCGGCCGGGCTGGAGGTGGTTAGGATGGGGCAGGACAGGGTCCCTGAGCGTCACTGTCGACTCAACAGCACACAACAACAACAACAACAACGCTGCCTAAAGAGCACCTGCCCTTCCCCTTCCTTCTCGATCCTGGTAATAAACTCTGATCTCTATGCACTGTCTGCCATACTTTTTAAAAATCTTATTAATACAGTATTTATTTACCTTCCTTCAGTCAAGCCCTGAGCCAATCAGTTTGCCCAGGCTGTCCGGAGAGATAGAGAGAAAGGAACATATAGGGCAGATGAGACGCAAAGGGGAGAAAATCAACCCGCTCTGGGAGCTGGAGACGCTCCTTCACATGGCGAAGAGGCTCACAAAGGCCACCAGCAGCCACGAGAGCCGCGTGGTCTCTGAGAGTGGTGGACGAGGGCTGCCGCTTCCGAGAAGGACTCCTGGCATACGCAATGACGAGGTTCCCAAACACAATCTCGACCTGAGCTCCAGAGTCCGGCTGTGGCAGCCGCAGCCTCGAAAACTCGACGGCCGTGTCAATACCCCTTGAGATGGTGCTGGTTTGGAATCTGCGGCTCGGGGTAAATGAAATCAAGGCATGCGGGGCTGGCAGGCAGCTGGGGTTCTCTTCTGTCAATTGCTTCAGCCCCACTGCTGACAACGGATGGCTGAGCGACTGAGAGGCGCTCCCGACCAAGGAAGGGGGAGACACTCGGTGCAGCACACGTTTTCAGGGGATGAGGGGCCACAGCGGGAAAGCTGCTCCTGGTGTAGTGAACACAGAGAGGCTGTTCTAGGTATTTTAAACAAGTGAGATCAAGTGATAGTTTGTGATTGGCTTTCTTCACTCAGCATGTTGTTTTCAAGGTTCATCAAGCTGTAACCTGAAGAGGACTTCCTTTCTCTTTATGGATAAGTAACACTGTGACTCTGCTTTAACAAGTCGGCTCGGCAGTCTCTCAGCGGACGCTCTGTCCGACTCTCCCAGACCAGGTCTGTGCTGACCTTGGCTCCTTGCATACACCTTCACTACTGGACTGAGGACTGGGTATGTTGAATAAACGCATCTCTCTTCCTACTGATGTTCAGATGTAACACATATTGAATGAAGGCTGCAGGATTTGATTTTCTGCAGTAAGTGCTTCAAATCTTCTTTCTGAGAGCAAAGCTATGTTCTCTGCATATTGCAGACTGCTGATGAGTTTTCCTCCAGTACTGATGCCACAGTCTTCTTCACAGAGTACATCTCAACATCAAGAAGATAAAAACCCTCACCACTGAGCCAATAGGGTTTCTCCATCACAGATGGAGAAAAGAATGACGTTATCAACTATTTTATCTGGATCCACAATCAACACTCATGAAAGCAGTATTTTAAAAAATTTAAAAAACACACACCAAAAAAAAATATGTTGCACTGGGGAAATCTGCTGTCAAGGACCTCTTTAAAGTACTAAAGAGTAAGGATGTCAGTTTAAAGAGTAAGGTGCACCTGAGGCAAACCATAGTATTTTCCACTGTTTTGTATGCATCTCAAAGTCGGACCATGAATAAAGATGGCTAAAGAAGAAATGATGCCTCTGAACTGTGGTGTCAGTAAAGAATATTGACGATTCCATGTACTGCCAAGAGATTAAACAACTGTCTTGGAAAAGAATAACAAGAGAGCTCCTTGGAGGCAAGGAGGGGTTCATGTACTTTGGGCCTGTTGTCAGATGGAGCCAGTCCTTGGAAAAAGCTATTATGCTGGGGAAAGTGGAGGGTCAGAGAAAGAGAGGAAGACCCTTAATGAGACGGACTGACACAGTGACTGTGACAGTGGGTTTGAGGAGATCAGGGACGAGGGTGGCACAGGTGGGGTGAGGTTCAGATATGCTGTTCAGAAGGTCACTCTGAGTTGTAGTCAATGTGATGGCACCTAACAACAACATATCCTAACAAACCTTTCCTATTAGATGAAAAGGTCTGTTTTCCACCAGCTTCCAGAGCCTGCGTCAGAAGAGAACAGACAGTAGATTCCTTCAGGTCTAGCAGTAAGTCTAGGAGCTCTTTGGTTGTGCACTGTTGAGTCGACCCTGATTTATAGTGACCCCATGTGAAGATCTGCCCTGTCATGCCACATTACAGCTAATGTGGGTTTGTATTTTTTTTTCCTAAAAAAAACCAAAACAACCCACAGTAGTTCGTTGTGTTCATTTTCTTTTGCTCCATGTAGAGACCTCAGACATTACTCATCAAACCAGGATTTAGATCGTAAACTCTGTGGTGTCACTGGACTAAGCCGCCCCGGTGACTGTGGTCCAGACTGGAATCATGGAAGCAGACGGTCAGCTCTTTCTCCCGTGGAGCCCCTGATGGCCTCAAACCACGACCTTTCAGTTAGCAACTGAGCACTCAACCATTGTGCCACCAGGGGTCACTGACACTGAAATACACAAGCTGTCACAACAAGCACACTCTACATGCTAAAAAGCCCACATCAATCAGTCGGTAAGATTATAGGAATGGGAGAGTGACAGGAATGAAACGGGACTGTCTGCTTGATACGGAAGACTCATGGAGGCCAGTGCCTCGCTCAAGACCAGTGCTCACTCACCACTGTGCTTACCGACACAGGACTCGGACTGCTTCTCCAGCTCTGGTTTCACAAAGCAGGCAAGAGAATAGAATAATCACGTTTACTTACAGTCTGTGTCTACTTACTTCCCTTGAGCTTTATTTTATTTAAAAAGGGTTTGTAGCCTATGGCTTAGAAAACAGAAAAAGGAACACCGAGGGCTGAGAAGACCCTGGGTAGGACAAAGCCAACCGAGCTGCTGGAGGACAAGCTGGCAGGACTCGGGACGTGGGGCAGACATGAGCCAGCAGTGACACGGGGTCACCCCCACGGAAGGCCCTCAACAGGCCTCGAGAGGCAAGAAGAGCCGTCTCCACCTGGAGGTAAAACCAGGGCCAAGTGGTGTGCACCTGACGGGGCGAGGAAGGGGGACTGGGAGGTGTGCATGAGTGAACTGCCGGGCAGCACGAGGAATTCACGAACTAAATGTGTTACACCATCAAAGAAAGGTCCTGAAGCCACAGAAAACATGCAGGACACAGAATGAGATACAGAGTGTCCTATTACTGACATAAACTAAACACACACATATAACAGTGTATACACTGTAAGGACATAGGGGACACACATTACATGCACTGCAGAGCGTGTCAGTGTGGGGAGAGAAGCAAAACAGGGGAAATGACAAGATGACAAAAAACAAACAAATACGGCACAGCGGGCAGGCATGGACCAGGGATGACACGCCCATTACAAGAGGAGAACAACTCCGCACTGCTGAATTCCAGCATGTAAAAATGAGAACAAATTTCCAGGAGCTTATTCACCTACTCAGAGGAGGAAGAAACACCTGATTTTCACATACAGTAAGTGAAGAACTCGAGCAGCCTGTGGCTTTGGGAAGATCACGTTAACGAGCACGCCTGTAACCTTGCAGACTAAGAGGTGCCTGACACGGTCACTGTACTGTTACTCATTTTCAGAAGCTTTGTAAGCACAGGGAAGCTGGACAGTGACTAAAGACTGAAGAAGAACTGACGCCTTTGCAATGTGGTGTTGGAGAAGAGCCCTGAATATTCCACGGACGGCCAAGAGAACAGACAGATCTGTCTTGGAAGACGTGCACCGCGAATGCTCCTCAGAAGCAAGGACACTGTGGCGTGATCTCACATATTTTGGGAAGAGTCAGAAGGGGCCAGTCTTTGAGAAATGACATCATGATTGGAAATGTGGAAGGTGAGAGAGGAGAGAAAGGCCCTCAACAAGATGAGGTGACAGAGTGACTGTAACAAGGGGCTGACACCTGGAAAGATTATGAGGTTGGTGTGGGATCACAAGGCCATGATGGGTCAAAGTGGTCTCAATGGTGTCTACCCACAAGAAGTGTCCCGGGCCAACCTCCCACCTGACCCCGTGAAGTCCTAGGCAGCGAGGTTCCCCAGGCCCAGGGCCATAGGCTGACCGTACCTCGTGGTTTTCATGGCCAAGCAGATCCGAAAGGACTCTGAGCACGAGGCCGGCCACCGTGGCACACACGCTCTTCCCTGCAGAAAAGTGACAAACGAAGAAGGCTTAGCATCATCCCTGCAAATAACCGGGCAAGGACGATCACCTGACAGGTGTGTTCAAAGGCTGGGCTTCTTGCAAATGTTGTTACTCTGGGCCTGGAGTAACGTTCTTCTCAGAGCCCAGCAGCTGCTCAGACTGCGGTCACTCACACCCTGAAGTCCCCTCTCCAGGAGCCAGGTCTTACAAAGAGCAGGAAGCATGGTTTAACCCTCTCAAGACCAAATTCTTTGCTGCTTTGTACTGTTTGTTGAAATCATGTATTTTCAGGGAAACGACTCGACGGCACATAACAACATTCTGAATGACACGAAAATAAACTTTTGGAGGTGATATGGACTTTGATAGAGTTGATAACACACATATGAGACTCCAAAGAGTCTCTGTGCTGAGGATGGTAGGACAAGAGCCATTTTTCCAGATTTATAATGCTACAGGCTTCCACCAGATGATGGCAGTACACACTGAAAGTGGGACAAAAGCATCCCACTAAATCCCAGAGGTCTAAAATGCACATGGGCTTTATATGTCCCATAGGTCATGAAAGGGTTAAGAACTTTGCTTCTGCAACCAACAAAACAGGGAGCTCTTGTGGTGCAGAGATAAGGAGCTGCACTGACAACCCAAAGGCCTCATTTGAACAACCTGGTTCAAATCCACCAGCTGCTCTGCAGGAAAAAGAGGAACAATCTACTCCTGTGTGATTTACTGCCTCTAAAAATCCGCTGGAGGGTCAGCGAGGGTCAGTTCTCACCAGCTCACAACCACCAGCACCACCAAAGTATTTCCTAAATATGTAATGCTTGCCTCAGGAGGAAATCAAATTCTATTCCCTTTTTAATCTTCTCTCTTACCTTCCCCAAGAGCAGGAAGTTAAGAATTATGATTCTTTGTATCTGAAGACACTCAGGGAGTGTTCCTAGAGCCTATTTTGCTGCTAACCGAAAGGCCACCTCTGTCTGGTGGTTTGAATCCACTGGCTTCTCCAGGGGAGAGGGATCATAGCGATTTCCAGCCTCGGGAACCTGTGTAGGGTCACTGAGCAGAACTGACTCAACAACAGTGAGTTTTTCTGGTTTTCTCTGAAAATAGAAAACTGTCTTCTCTGGAGAACACAGTATTAGGTTGGTGATGACATAGTGCTTCCAAGACCAGGTACCATTTTGGCTTTGGTGGTTCAACAGTTTTAACTGCCCACTGCCAGGGAGGCTCTCTGCACTCAAGCATCTATAGACCCTCTGGAACTGAGCAGAGCTGCCCCACTGTGCCCCAGGCTGGGATCCGAGCTGAACAGATCGTCACATCCTGGGGAGCGGCAGGGACTGAAGCAGAGCCACCCCACTGTGCCCGAGGCTGGGATCCACCATGCCCCAGGCCGGGATCTTAGCGTAACAGTCACATCCTGGGTAGTCACATCCTGGTAACTTGCGAAGGCAGGGGTTTTGGTTGCTCATTATTAACCCACTGGGCCATCAGGGTTTCTTAACAACATTACACCTAGTTGGAAATCCTTTTCCATGAACAAGTCTCCCTTTTCCCGTTTCTTGTTTTCTATGAGGGAACTCAACAGCAAACCCCAAAAGGCTTGCCAGCAATGGAGAGTCGAGGGATACAATCCCCACCCGTCGTCCACACCAGAACCGGGGCTGTGAGACCTGCACTCCGGAGACAGAGGTTCATGAGCAGAGCCACCGAGTACTCGAGCGTGTAGTCAGACAGGCAGTCGGGGTCCTTGAGGATGTCGACGAGCCAGAAGATGAGACCGTCGTGGATCATCGCCGTCTGCAGGGAGCGCCTAGGATCAGACAGCGTGCAGGTGAGGTGTGGGGCATGCGCGCGCAGACACACACACACACACACACACACACACACACACACACGGCACGGCACACACAGAGCACGAGGTGGTGTGAACGCAGGCCGGAGGCGGCAGCCGCGCGGAGGATGTGGGCCCCAGAGAGTATCTTGTGGTGTTGCTGTTGTTAGGTGCATCTGAGTCAGATCCGACTGCTAGCAACCCCACTCCCGACAGAGTGACACACTGCCCAGTCCTGCGCCCACCTCCCTGGGACCGCTGTGTGTGAGCCTGTGCTTCCACCCGCGGTGTCAGGCTCGTCCTGTTTGCACAGACCTGGCCTGTCTCTCTCCAGGGACCAGGCCCACGCGGGCGCACGTCCAAAGTACATGAGAAGTGTCACTGTTCTCACTTCCCAGGAGCCCCCAGGCTGAGCTTCTTCCAGACACATCTGCTCATCTTCCGGCTGTGCCTGGCATATTCCATAATCGTCACCTCACGTCTTAATAGATTGACTCCACTGAGACAACAACAGTTTCTCCCAGTATCAGAGATCTTATTAAAGGCATTCAAATCAAGTCACAGAACTAGAAGCCCTGCTCACTGGAAAGTTTCCTTATATTTACAATTAATAAAGCATTACTTGAAAATTTTAATAAATATGCATTGTTTTGGTTTAACAAATACATAAATATGTATTGGTTTGGTTTATCATATTTTAAATATGATATGTTTTTGTTTTAAGCTTGACTGACTTAAAACAAAAACATATC